ATATTTGACATTAAAATTGATTAAATCTGAACAAAGTACTATAAATATTATGATGAAAATAATTTATTAAAAATAATTTAAAAAGTAGAGAGATTAGAAAATTTTGAAAAATCAAGATAAATTTATCATAAGAGTTAATAAATTTTAAAAATTACTTTCTCTGGAATGTCAAATGCCTTCAGAGATGGCGCTAATCTTCAATTCTAGTAGTTTATCCTTGAAGTGAAGTTCGATACTTAGTAAATTGATTTTCATGATATTTTTATTCTTTTCTTATTATTCTTGATGTATTATTATATAAAATTTAGTTAAATATATTTTTAGCATTTTTTCAAATTTACAACGTATTTTATTTTTTAATGTAAAGAAATATAATTAGTACATCTTCGACTTTATAAAACACTTGTTAATGTTATATATATTTATTATATTTTATTCTTTAATTTATAATATTATTTCATGTATAATTTTAAATATCTAAATACATTAAATTCAAAAATTTGAAAAAATATAATTTTATTTTTAGAAATAATCTAGAAAATTAATTAATTTTTCTCATTAGGATTAATTTACGATATATTATAAGTTTTTAAACATCAATTTTGAACTACATTATAAGTAAAAATCTGTTAAAATGAAAAATAGATTATAAAGAATATAATATTTTTAAAAATATGATTTTTAAAAATTTAAAAATATTTTGTAATCTTATTCTGAGCCGAATCCGTAAGAAATTTTACTTAATGCTCCAAGTGCATAAAAAAAAATGAATTGAATATTAAATATATTCTGTATCTATGATATATTGGTAATAAATTATTGAATATTTATTGATAATTGGTAATATTTTATTGAATTAATTAAACATAATTTAATATTAATTTTTATATAATATAATAAAAAAATAAATTACAATGAATTTAAATATTATAATATAACAAATATTTAAATACAAATTAGTCTATGTTTAAAAAATAAAATATATTAAAATAATTATTAAATCTGGTTTTCTTCAGGTATCACTTCTAACGGTTATGGTTGTGCCAGACCTGGACGACCTGGAGTCTATACGAAAGTGCATCATTATCTTTCTTGGATTGAATATGTAATTTCCAGAGAAGATATTCGATCCTCAATAGCTTCTTGCAAAGGTCATCGATGTCCTTTAGGCGAGTGTTTGCCAAAATCTCGAATATGTAATGGATTTCTAGAATGTTCGGATGGTAGTGATGAACGTAATTGTTCTATTAATTTATAGAAATGAAGACTGATTGTATTTGTATTTATTCGTTTCATCTTATGAATTAAATGAATTAATTAAAATAAAAGAACTTCAATGTATAAAAAAATTTATAAATTTATATTTATAATATAATATAATTATAATATTGTATTAAAAATTTATATAAATTTATAAATTTTGAAAACAATTATAGTATAAGAAGATAAAAGAAGAATGAATTTTTTAAAGTTAAAAAATATAGTGAAAACATATACTAAAAATATGTTTCATCATTAAAATATAAAATTTTCCATCTTTGAAAATATTGCTGTGAAATATAAATATTCATTGATTTTATATAAATGTGCAATAAATAGCTAGAAATCAAAAGTTAAAGATAAATGTTAGAGAGTGTATCGAAATCAAATATAAAATGTTTCAAAAAATTTTAGTTATTAATGATAACTAATAATACTATTAATACTAACTTATACTCTTTTATACAGTTATCTTTGCGTTTGATAGTTAACAATAATATGTTTAAATTATAGGAATAGATCTACTAATTATATATGTAGATTTACTGATTATATATTAAAAAAATCTTCCTAATTAAATTTGTACGAAAATAATATGAATAATTGCGAAGAATAGTATTTTTGAATCACCCGATTGTTAATTCATAAATACTTACTATTATAGAAACCTGGCATTTTGATTCTTTTGCTTTATTAGTTACAAAAATGAATCTTAAGGCCACGTATATCATGTTCATTAATTTCAGTTTCTTCGTAAACTTGAAGTTTTTTAACATAATATGTATATATATTATATCGTATCTAATTATGTAAAAAGATTCTTTTAATGCTAATAAATAAGAGTTTTTAAAAAAATAAATTCTCGTTCATAATTTTTTTTTCTAAAAAATATAAATAACATTTTAATTAATATAATAATAACGTTTTAATTAATATAATATCTTTAAGTGAAAAGTTCAGTATGAATAATACAAGATTTAAATAGTATAATTTGTTTTATTAGGACAATTAGAAATAACACTGAAAATCATATTGAGAAATAAATATTAATCTCGATATAATACTCTATCGATTAAAACAAAAAAAAAATTGTTAGGGATTACTGCATTATGGGCAGCACGATCCTTACTGGTAAATAATTTTAGTCAAATAATTATTGTTCAATAATCATACAAATATGTTTAGTACTATATAAATGATAAAAACAATCATAAACTCTTTCGAGTTTTTCTTTCATCTCTTTAGTGGAAAGGATCGAACTGCTAAATTCATTGTTATTTTATTATGATCATGTCATTTTAGATCGTGCCTTTAAGTAGTTTAATATTAGATTATACCTACGATTAGCACAATATACTAAATGGTAAAAATCACAATGTAATTTACTTCAAACAGCTCGCTTTTAAAATTCAATATCGAGTTTATAATTCATTTATTATTTCGAAGTGTTCTTTTTTTACGGTTGAATTATCAAGACTTTTGCACAACCGTTTTTTTTTTTTTTTTTTTTTTTGATGATTTTTAACTACGTATACATTTTGAATTTGAAAGTTTTTAGACGCGCCTAAAAGATTCATGTTATTCATAAAATAAATTTAGCATCCCATTTTATTTACACATCACGAACATTTATAGACACGGAAGACTCACAAAATAAAAGTTCAAATATTAAAATCGAAATCATATTATTATAATATATTGACACAAAATAATTTATTTCTAATTAATATTTTCTAAAAAAAACTAATAATACTATAAACAAATGATATGTAAAATAAATGTGATGCAAAAGTCTGAAGTTAATATTATTAACTCTTTCGCTGCAGGCCGAGTTTAGTACAGAACACATGATAATAATAAAATGCATAAAATATGTAGAAAATGTCAATATAGTAATATTTGCTGAAATTTATCTAAATTCATGATTTATGACACAGATATATTTATTAAAATAAAATAATTAAATATATCTAAAAATGCCTACAAGAGCATTTTTGAGCACTTATAGCGTTAATAGCAGCGAAAGGGTTAAATTATCGATATGACATCACTAATTGTATAAATGACTCGTGAATGCTTCCTGATATTTTGATTTCTCAGAAATTTATATATGCATCACTCTCTATTCTCCTGTCAAGAATATCGAGTGACAATTCCATGGCGAGTACAACTGAAAAATCTCGGGAAGCAAATTTGGTATGGACAAAAGTTTGATCACGATAAAAAATAGTGTAAATATATAAAAGGTCAGATTTGAAAGTAGAAAAACTTTTGTCCATACCATTTTAATCCAATTCAGGCTTCTCATCTCAGCACCAATGTGCGTAATAATATATTCGTGAAGAATATCGATTCCATTTTTTTTCCATTATCACTTATTAGACGAATCACAATATTACTAGGGATTTAATTATGACTATATTACAAAATATCGAGTTGCAGACAATCGAATATCTGCGTGTTTATAAGGTATAATATAATTTAATAAGATTCGTTTAAATTGAGCATCATTTTGAAGTGATTCCAATTTCATTTGCAATGGAATCGATAATCTTCAATACAATACGCGAATATATTCGAAACAAAATAGGACAGCGATATTAAAACATTCAATCGATTTATCTAATACAATTCTATACTTTTATGTACTCGCATTTTTTCCTAATTCTCCATTTCTCTTTTCTTTTAATTCTTAAATTAGTTAAAGAAGCAATAAATAATAATTTGACAAATTTTCTGAAGATGATATTTCTAATGAGCTGTACTCGTAGACAGACGTTTAGTTAGGCTATGAATAATTGAATTATTGAATAATTGAATTACTTTAGCCCAATGAATCAACTGCGATCGTACTTAGACCTTTGGGACTAATAGTTGTTTTGAATTGCTCTGGTATAGGATATTCAATCTGTAAAAATATATACCAAAAAAAGATTAAAATAAAAATGTAAAAATAAATCTATGTACTTTTAGTTTATTAAATATTTAATAAACTTACATAATCTCCATTTCCTTTAGGTACCATAACATTCATTTCGCTAGATTTGCTACTAATAAATTCCACATCTAATGATTCCGAATTCAAATACATTTGACAACCATCTGTCTTGTCAATAGAAATTGTGGGAACTTTTCCTAAAACCTATAATTAAATAAAAAGGAAATAAATTAATTTTGTACACACTTTATATACATTATCGATATTTATATATCGAGAAATAACAATTGCTAATCGCAGTTTTTTTCAATTTTCCACATTTCACATAGTGTAGGTAAAAATAATTATAAATAGGAATTGATCACATTTTGAAACCTATAATTTGATTTTTATAATACACCTAACACATTTTACACCTCTTTTCAAAATGCATTGGCAATTCGGTAAGATTCTCTTTAATCTTTTCCTATATAATTAATAACTATAATTAAAATTTAATATTTCGAGTCAAACAAATCTATCTCGTTCACTTAATCGACACAAATAGGCGGAAATCTTGAACCTGTGCAAATGATCTGTGAAATTGATTGGAAAGAATGTCCAAAAGCAATCGCAAATTATATTTGGAGTGAGATTGTAACTGATGTCCTCGACTACTTGAGGAACGAAAGCATAGTCTGGCGGGTACAGAGAATTATTATTTTTGACTTGCAATGAATTAGAAGTCTATGAATACATGAACATAGCGGTCAGGTAAGTTCTTATAACTGATAAGACTTTTTATATCTGAACGCTATGTTCACTATTTGTCATATGAAAAAAGGATCAAAATAATTATCTTTACAATATAATATTTTTACTAATCATATTAATATTTGAAGGTAGTAGCCGTATGTTCTCTATTTATTATATTACTGCGCGCAATATATCTCAAAGTAAAACGTAGTAATAACGCCGCTATCGATAAAGATATTCTCAATAAAGTGGGATACAAAGTAGAAGATCTCGAATTGAAAGTTAACATATTGACATATAAACTTCAATACGGTAGTTGGCCTCTACCTCATCAAGTTCAAAAATCAAATTTCAAGAAAAATTTGCGAAATCTTAGACTAACTCTATCCAGTCCTAATGACCGCAATAATTGGATAAAACATGTTTTATTAAGGTAAAATTGTAATTATAATGATGATTTTTAATAGTATAGAAAAGATTAAAATATAAAAAATAAAAAACCATAGGATTTTATTAAAAATTTTAAATTGAAAAGTATATTTTTCTAGCCCCAGACATAAAGAATCATACCTTTCATATTCAAAGTATTATCCTTCAGAACATCATTTGACGGAATTGTTTGATGCAAAGAAAAAGAGTGTGTACCCTTACCTCCGGCAAGAAAACTTACCAGTGGAATATAGTAGTAAATCGTCTAAAAGTAGTAGTGATAAATCTCTCAAGTACAATCACATATCCAAAATATTCTTCCAAATATATTAAGATTATTAATATATTAAGATGATTTTACTTTCAGATTAAATTCTACGTTTAAAAATATAATGAAACGAAAGCATTATGATACATTCAAGAATGAAAATTATGAAATGCAATACAGAAATGCGATATCGCTACCATTATTTTCAAGAAGAAAATATAGTAAAACAGGAAGAAAAGCAAGAAAAGATATGAAGGACATTGAAACCGGAAAAGTGACAACGGCTTGTAAGAAATTCACAAAAACCATAGACGATTGCAAAAGATATTTGAAGGAATTACATGATAGCAATAAAAATCTTGGATTGATCTGTAGTTCGTCTGAAATTAGCTATGAATCCTCGATTAAAAATGTTTGGTCAGATACGCAGGTAAATAAATAAAGTAAAATATTAAAAAATACTATTGCATTAAAAAGACAATATTAAATTTAAATATTATATTATAAAGAAAAAATTGTTAATATGTAACGTATCAAATCCTATTACAGCAGCAAAAATGTGTTGAAGCAAAAAATCCAATTAATTTAAATGAAAATCTCAACAATAAAGAAAATGATGATGAAAAAGAGGAAAGTAAAAAAATGAAGAACTTTGAAAAAATTGATAACAAACAACAAAATAACGATCAATGTTTAGAACTATCAAATGCGATCTATCCGGTATTACAATTAATTGACAAACGTTTATTACCCCCAAAAATGAATATATCATTTTATACTGACATGTTTCCTCAGCAATTAACGTCGAAGATGTTAATTCCATGTGAACGAAGAAAATACACAAAGACGTCTGAAGAAGCGTTGTATCAAGTAAAAAAGAAATTAGAAAGTTTACATAATGTTTTGCGTATGTACGAGTTACAAAAAGATGAGACAAAAATATCAGAGAAACAACAAGAAGACAATAACAAAACGAACAATACCTGCCAAAATGTTATGGACACACTTGTCTCGGTTACAACAGAAGGTAACAATCGAAATAGAATTAAAAAAACCAAAATAAATTTTAATAATAATACTAGAAACAACAGCAAGGAAATTCAACAAACAACTTCTAATAGTTCTGAACCATATGAAAGTGATGAAACAATAAAAAGTTCAATAGTATCGATACAAAATTATTCTAGTACGCTTAACGCATATTGTGTAAATAATATAAATGATCCTTATTGTTTGCTTACGGAAAAATTTGATCAAAAAAGATCTCCCAGAAATTATGATGAATTAGAGATAATTCCAAATAATCAAATTGTATATTCCTCTAGTGTTAAATATGAACGAATTCCTGAAAGAATTTATTATACTCTTTCATCTGATTCTTCTGATGGAAAAGAAGATAAAAAAAAAACTGCAATATCAGAAACTTTAACATCATTCCCAAATGTATACATCAAAAATAATCAAACAAAGTCATTCAGTTTCTCTAATCAATATCCAATTCCAATGGAAACTGATGAAGATGTAATAATGACAACAGCCTCGAGTCGAACGGAAGTATCAAAAGATAGCGAATTTGAAGATAAGTCGACAGCATTGTTACTTCAAGAAGCATTGCAATTCAAGAAAGCTCTATTAACGCGCGTTGAACTAGAAAAATTATGTTATACAAATGATAAAAAAGAAGAAATAAATAATGGATCAGAATCAGATCATGGTAAATATTCTTATATTAACAATAGTTTACAATCTAAATTTTTGGATATTATATCAGAGGAACAATCAGTTAGTAGTTCTACTGAAAAAACCAGTAGAACTTATATGTTTTTCAATTTGAAACAAGACAAGCAATTCAACAATGATATATTAGATTTTACTCAACGAAATGATTTCAATACGCATAAAAAATATTTGGACTCAAAACACACTCTTAGTTCACCTTCTGAATATTTTAGCTTTTGTAATATAACTCAGAAAGAAAATACAATTAATAATAGTCAGCTATCTTTACCAAATCATACTCATTTTCAAGAAAACGAATCTATAGAAGTAATTCCAAGTACTTTGCAAATAGAATATTTAAATGATACTTTGAATGAATCTAATGACAAACTTATAACATTTTCAAGTTGTTTAAATACAACAGAAACAAATGTGAATGAACAACAAATATGTTATGATTGTATGAATAAAACACAGAATTTCAGAGAACATTTTACACATATAAATAATATAAATGAATTTATAACTCAAAATATTAATAGCGTAGAATTATTTTCAGAAGATTTAGATATTCCTTCAATAAAAAAAATTGAAAATTCCAATAAAAATATAACTTCTAATTTTCTTAACTCTGAATCTCTGAAACAATATAGCAGTGTTAAAAGTATTAAAAATATAGATGATACATCAAAACTAAATATATTGAATGATAAAGAACATATTGAAGATAATGAAATTTTATCATGCAATTCAAATTTAACTTTAAAAAGAAATCCTGGCGCATGTTCGCTATTCGAACAAACAGTGACACATGTACATGCAAATAAAATATTAGAAATAGATGATTTGCTTGAAAGTAGTGATCCAATAAATGATGATGAATTATCATTCAATGAAAGTAAAGAAACTTCATTTGAAATGAATTTAATACAAGATTCATTAACGTCCTGTATACATTTTTCTAATGATTCTAATTATCCAGAACCATCATCTGTGACAATATTAGTTAACAAATCAATAGATGAAGATAAATTGGATTTAGATTGGTTAAATGTTAACAATGATTTCAGTGATGATGAGAAAAATATAAAAACATATTCAACAAATACAATTACTCTTCAAAAGTATGATACAACAAATACAGATAATTATAAAGAAACAAAAACTCATTATATCAAAAATGATAAACTTGAAGATGAAAAAATTAATTCAACTATAGAAAACTCATTTGAAAATCTAGATAAAAAAGAAATAGTTAGAGATCTGGATTTTTATAAATCTTATTCCAATCTAATTTCTCCACATAGTAGTATGTACTTTACAGATGAAGCTTCAAGTTCCAACATAAAATTAAATACTCATAATTCAAAACTTTGTAAAGGTTATTTACATTCTAATATATATATACAAAATAATAAAGAAAATGAATTATGTTGTGAGAATAAACATTTGAAACATACAAAAAATATCGAAACATTTTCAATTTCGACGTTGAATGAAAAGAAAAAAACAAATTTCCCAATTTCGACAAACAATGACAAATCTTTTATCAAAATTTCGAATGATAAATCAGAGAATAAACAAAATTTATCAGAATCTAACAAAATACATAAAGAAAATGATCTACTTTCTAAAACTTGTACAGAAAATAAGGATACATTGTTAATTAAAGAAAGAAAAATTTCAGAAAAAGAAAATGATATTTTGAATAATAAAAATTCAATTTCATATAAGGATATTAAAAATTATAATTTAATATCTACAGAAAATATTTTATCAAATGAGATATTATCTAGTTCGATAAATAATAATGAAAAATTAGAGCAATATATCACATCGTCAAATCTATCTTCACAAATTTCTCCAAGGGAAACAAAAGAAAATAAAACAATGAAAAAAATAAATACGACAGTGAAATCACGAAGTCATGAAAATTATATTTCCAATATCGAAAAATTAAAGAAAACAAATTTACAGAATTTAAAATGTTTAAAATCTGATTTATTGAACACGGGTCGAATTAAAACAGAAAATAATAAAAATATAACATATACAAAATTAAGAGATCTATCAGCAGAACCTAAACGTAATACAGAAAATAGTATTAAATTAGATAAAAAAAGATCACGATCACAAATAAGTTTTCGAACGAACGAATTATTAAAAGAAGTTACACTACAATCACATGAATTCCCAAGCAATAAAAATTCTATAAATTATACTAAATCATTAGAAACGAAATTTAAATTAAAAGGTCCTTTAAAATCTTTGACACCAACGCCGAAAACATCTTCAAGGTCTTGCATACCGATTTTGAAAAGCCGTTTGGAAGCAGCTCGAAAGATTGAAAATGAATCACGACCTAAAAGTCCAACGAGAGGCCCGTTAACAATGACTATGTCCTGGAGAGATAATATATGTAACAAAAATCAAAATGTAACAGATGAAGTTCAAGTAGAGGGTAAAATAAGAAGTAATGATCCGCCTATAGAAGGAGTAAATTATGCAGAAAAGATAAATAATAGTGGTAATCATAATCAAGAGTCAATAAAAATATCACAAAATAACGTAAATGAAAATACTGATAATAATATTATTTCGCAAGAACAAATGATAATATATGTTAACATATTCACAAAATATGATGATAATACTACAAAAATAGTGAATCCAAATAAATTTCTGGATTATATGAAGAATAGAAAATTAAATATGCAACAATTGCAAGAAAATCAAGTTAACAAGAAACATTCTGAACTTCATGAGACCTCCATAAAAAACGAGAAAGATACAATACATAAAATTGTTACAGTCGTTTCTTCTGTTATAGATGGTAATGAATTAAATGAAACTATATCAACTAAATCAACATTGAAACCACAAAAAACTTCATTGTCAAATATTTTACTAAATGGTCAATTAAAAAATTTATGTTTCTTATCCGTTGAACAAAGAGAAATCGATGTAACTGCCAAACCTTCTGTTGTTGATACAAGCACATCGATATCGGATTTAGATAATATTTCAAAGATATCAAAAAGTACATTAAATAAATTTCAAATATGCGGAACACCTAAAGAATTAAATAATGAGGAATATATAGCGTTACTAGAAATTCTTCATCAGGAATCCAATTTTGTACATTTACGAGAATTGCAAAATATTTGTAAAAAACTTGTATCGGAATATCCAAAAATCTAAGCAAAATTTAATCACAAATATAAAATATTCATCTGTATTTATAAAATTCATAATTAATAATGGCACTTATATATATATATATTTTTTTTTTGTAATATTACACTTTTATTTCATGATATAGAACATAAACTAAATGTAATTATATTGTATATGTATATACTTATTTGGAAATAAATATATTTTTTACACAATATTTTGTGTAACAAAAGATAGATCTTATTGCATTTTTTTATAAACAATAAAAATAAATAACATACCTGCATTTGCACACTTTGACAATTGACGAATTCAATACTCGATACAACGGAATCGAAAACAACAGATGATTTACGACATGAATCCATAACAATGGAATTAACTTTGCCTTTAATAACTAAAGTACTATCTTGACATCGAAACATGTAGATTACATTGTTCATTTCCACATTATCAATAAGTAAATCTTTATTAGCTTTATGATATTCCTATAACAAATGCAATATGTTTTATAAATATGTTTTATAATAAAAATATTTCTAATAAAATAAAATAATAAATATTATTATTTACCACAAGCCATTTCTTTCCATCTCTAGTAAATACAGGAGGTTTATCAATTGGTGCATTTGCAGATGGTACTGTTTTTGTTGGTACAGTATTACCAACAATTGGTGCTTTAAATGGTGCTGGTCCAGTTCTCAGTGAAGGATTTTTATGTGTTTGCATATCTGACGTAACTTTTTTTAAATCTATAAATATTAATTAATTTTAAAGATTTTATTACTTGAATAAAATTACTATTAAATATATAAATAAAAATAGTATTTAATAACTGTGTTATATTTACTTTTTGTAATAGCTTCTCCTTGATTAATTTCGGCGAAAAGAGCACTTCTATCATCACTAATATTTGCTGGTATTATGTCTGTCATAGGCATACATGGTGGTGGAGGTGGTGGTATGCCTACTGGTGCAGAGCCAGTTTTTGCCCATACTAATCCTGTAGTGTGATGCTGACGCACATATTGCTGCAGATCACTTAATGTTTGTATCCAAGCTTTACACCATTCAGCATGTACTTTATCTCTGTAAATATAAAAAACTATATGAACTCTATATCAGTAATTAATTTCTAACATAAAGAAAATTATAAGTTATAGAAAACAATAAGGAAAATATTTTTTTATTTATTATTAAGTTAATTAAAAATCTAAAATAAAAACTTACTTTTCTTTCCATTCCTTTAAAACACGATTTGTATAGAATTGTCCAGCATCATTCATTTCTTTCACATAAGGAGCTGGAGTAGGTGATACTGCAACCCAACCCAAAGCTGGAATACTTTCACTAATTGCAGATAAATGATTGAAAAATTGAGATCCTCTATTTTTTTCGCGAAATTCTTGAATTTGTTGAATTTGTGTAGATGTAGGTGCAAGAAGAGAAATTTGTTCTGATTGATTTGCTGGAGATGGGCGACTTGCTGCAGTTTGAATGAATTCCAATTGAATTCTATAAAAAAATATTATAATATTTAATAATTTATGTGGCCATATATACAATCTGAAAATATTGAAATTCACTAGTAGTGAAATATTTACTTAAATGCTTTTTCTACAAGTTTGCTATGAGTAGCTACATCACCACCAATTTTCTCACTTAGTTGAAGATATTCTTTTACAGGACCAGCTAAAAAATCTTCATATCCTGCGACTGACATGATGATAAAATTATCTGCTATTTTTTTATCTATTGAATGAGAAGATGAGACAGACAATATTGAATCACTATTTTTTATGGATTGAGACCTTTTTGGTGATGGTGTATTTGTTTGAACAGCAGAATCTTGAGTTTCAATTGTAGATTGGGCTCTTACTTTTTCTAGTCTTCTTGTAACATTTTCTAATCTATTTACCAATTCTTCTAAATGTTCTTCCTTCTCATTAACTTCACAACCTTCAATTATAATACATTTTTTACTTAAAATTGAAATGTTCTAGAATTATTAATATACGAAAATTATATTATTTTTTATTTTTAATAAAATAATTATTAATACATGCAATACATGCAAATAATAAAAAAAGATAATTTATATATTTATCCATAAAAATATATCCATAAAATTTAGTAAAAAAAAATAAATATTTTTTATAATAATATAATATTTGAAAACGAAAATAATGAATTCATAACTAAACTATTAACGATTATAAAACGATTATAAAATATAAAATTCTCATTAATCAAAGATATTCCAAAAATTCGCATTTATAGCGGATATATTAAATATAGAATGAATGTATAAATAGTTACATCAACATCCATAGCCACTAGATCATTAAATTGCAAGCAATAAATAATATTAGATTATAAATTTATATAATATTCACAAATTGATTAAATAAATTTATACTTGAAATATATTATATATACTTGAAAATGTACATAAAATTAATTTATTTCATATATATAAAATTATCTCATATTTATAAATAAACATGTCATAATAAATGAATTTTATAAAAATTAATTATATTAAACTATTATAATTATATTAGAAATTCACATTACTACAATTAATTTTCATATCAATTTTAATTAAAAATTTATGAGATATATTAGAATCAAAATTAAAAATAACTCCCTTTAATTAGTTTGAAATTTATAATAAAATATGAAATAATAAAAATAGATTAATTTGTTACTGCTGCTTCAATTTATGATTAATAGCACTTTAATTTCTCAATTCTTTTTTTTAATTAAAAATTATTTTTATATAGCAAAAATTTTTACATAATATATAGTCTTTTCAGAAACGCTCGAAGAACTAAACTACAGTTCTAATGATATTCAACACGAGTTGCCGCAAACTATTCTTAGGAAATCTGCGAAAATTGAATCATGCGTAGGTAGATATCATTCTGTATAGAATCTCACAGAATCATAAATAATTAAAAATAATAATAATTAAAAATTCTTCGCATATTTATATTATATGTATAATTACTCATATATAAAATTAAAAATATAATTGAAAATAATATTATTGTAATTGATATTAATAATTGATTGATATAATTTAATTGATATTTTATATTTACAATTAAAACAAAATAAATGGTTTAAAAAAAAAAAATCATAAATATAGAATATTTTTAATAACTTTTTTTTAATAAAAACTTATGAAATAATAAATTGAAAATTAAAAAGTAAAAAATGAAAAAATAAATAATTAATAATACTAAAAATAGTAATTAATAATATATCATCCAATAACATGTATGGATATATGAAATTAGTATAAAATTTAAATAAAATTTTTTTTTTGTTATTTTTCACAATTTAGAAATGAATAATAAAATAATGAAAAAAAATTTGCAATACATATTCATGTGTTTATATATAAATATGCTATCTATACTTAAATTTTAATATAAAATCTAAAATCAAATATTCACAAAAATAAAAGACAAAAAATAATAATATTATTAAAAAAATAAAATATAAATGTAAGTATATGTATATAGATTGTTTTAGAACATAAATAATTTTGGCAAACTGTTAAGAAGATTAAAGCTTAAAAAATTTCGTTTTAAATAGTAAATAAATATAATGCATTTTTCCTTCAACATTTATAGTTATATTCGACTTTAAAATTTTAATGAATAATTTTTAATGAAATTAGATAGCATTATTAATTCCATTGTAATAGTGATTTAAAATATAAAAATATAAATTCAAATTTAAATATAAACGATGAATTATTACACAAAATATTGTAATTTTAGTATGAATTTAAATAAATATTATTAAATAATTTTTTAATATTTTTAAAACTTTTTAACCTTTAAATATTAATAATTATTTCTAACAACATACATATATGTTATATTATATTCATATTACATACTTCATTAGTCTCAATTTTAAATAATCTCACAAAATATTTTTCATTTTAAAACATAATCGATAAATAAGAATAAATTTCTTTAATATTTGTATTCAATACTTTTAAGTTAATAAATAAATAAATTCGAACAGAAGATTTAAAAATCATACAAAGTAAGAAATGGATTTAGAATGAGCCCTAACCAGCGTGCACCATCGGTCCTAGGGGGTCGAATCTCACTCTATGCTCCGTCGCGTTTTGCGCGGCATGCAATAAATCGGAGAAGAATCTATGACGTCTTAAAGCTAGTTCATCACGAGCAACTGGTGTCGCCGGTGGTTCTTGCATTCCACTGCATTCTTCTGAATCGCCATCTTCTTCTTCCGAAAGCCACCGAGGAATTGATGAAACTGCGCATTGTATATCCGAATATAGATATTTCGTCTATTTAAGTATGTGTTATTCAATGAATGCAATTTCCTCATTCATAATTTAAAATCAGTTCTATGAAAATAATAATTCTGAATGAAAATAATAAAATAATAATAAAGTCATGGAAATTAACATTTTCTTAAAAGAGATACGAAGATGAATGAATCGATTCATCTTTTCAACTATATAAGTTTGTTAATTTTATAAAAATCTAATATTTTTGTTATTTCAAAATAGTTTGATCAAGATTATATTCATAAAAAAAAATAATTATATATACATAAATAAATAATATTACAATATTATATATAACAAATAATAATATATATTATTATTATTATTATAATATAAATAAATATAAATATATATAAATACATATGTATAATGATTAAACTAAAAAACTGAAGAATTAATGAAATATTATATAAATAAAAAAATAAATTATCAAATAAATTATAATTTTAAAATAATTAAAATAAAATCTCATTAAAAATAATACTTATTATTAAAAATAAAATATAATATTAATAAAATAAATCAAGTAAAAAAATTTTAACAAAAAAAATGACAGGAAAACGAAATATGAAGTGAGCAAATTGCATATTTAAATATGTATATATCAATCATCATATACATGTATTATAACTCCGCAATGAAAATATACCTGGCGGCGTTTTTTTATTTGTATCATTCGGACAAGCTTCAAAAACGGAATCATCACCTTCCTCTTCTGGTCCATCATCAATCGTTCTCTCAATATACGCGGAAGAGTTATAAAGATTGGTTTTAATAGTACCAGAGATTCCAGAATTTAATATTGTCTTCATTACTCCATTCTCGTTATTCCCATTATCATTTTCACTTATATTATCATTTTCCTTTATTTTTTCATTTCTATTTGCATCTTTAATTCTGTTTATTTCTCTATTTTTGTTTTCTATATTTATTCGATCACTCGCATTTTCTATATCATCATTGTCAATATCATTCGATTTCTCTATCGATTCTACTCGTAATCGAGAATTATCATTATTTTCATCTCGCTTACCGATAGGTAATGGACTCTTGACAATTAAATCATCAATTATTTCCATACTATTATTTTCCATCGACGAAGAAACTTTTTCAAATCTCTGTATATTACCGTTCAGCTTTTTTTCTCCTTCGATCGATCCATTTTCTTCAGCTTTTAAGGAATCAGAATTAACCAATTGCGAATCAACCGCTTTTTGATTTTGCTTTGATGTCGATTTCATTTCGCTATTCGACTTCTCCTTTTTTGAGCTCTTATTGCACACACAGCATTTAAACATCGTCAATATTGATTATAGATTTTCGTTGTATCAATAATAAACGTTTTCGGTGCTTACCGAACTTTGATACTTTCAAACTAATAGTAATACACAACAGTGATTATATATATGTCACGTGATATCGTTTTTTCAGCCGGTTTATATCGATAGTATCGATCCGTTCGAATCAATCGATTTGAAAAATGCGATAAAATTTATCAAGATGATGTTTTTGTATTAATAAAAAAAAAGTATTAACTTGCACAACATGAATAATCTCATAATGTGAAACATTATTGATAATTAATTTAAAATTTTATGTTTTTATTTTAAATTAAATATCATATTTTTTAATTGTAACAATTATAATAGAAAACAGTATAAACATTTTTTATATGTATTTAATATGTAACGAGTATTGAAAATATCATAGATAATAACATTGAATATAATTTAAGCTATAATTTAAGCTCAATACCTAAATATTTTAGTTTTACTGGTCTTTTTCAAGTAACGGAACTAAATAACGAATACATATGTTTCAACCGGATTTCCCACGGGAATCACGCACTATAAATTGTTCAGTGTGCAGTCATAGGGATTATATTTACTTATAATTAATTAATGTATATATCCATTAATACTATAAATTAATAATTAAATACATAATGTAAGCAAAATAATAGTATTATTAATTAATACCTCTTATTTCTTTTCTCTATATAAGTTATTAATAAATAACTTGATTAACATTAATACAATCATCAACAATTATTGAAAAAAATTTATATTTATTATTTTGTTAATATAATAAAGATAAATAAAATATTTAAGTAATTTTATCTACTTATTCTATTTTAATTATATTATTATTTTAAGGATTCAAATTCTATCATTTATAAACAACAGTTTTTAGAAAAACTTTCGTAACATTGTCATATATAATTATTTGCAACGAAATCACAATATTTTTAAGAAATTGTACATGAATAAAATCTATCATATATTTTCCCCGCGAATTTCCCTTAATGGCGTGATAATCGATTCCAACAACGCCCAAGTTTATGTTACATTTTCCAGATTAGTATAACAGATGTGAAAATAGAGGTTATACATGTATTTTAACTACATATAAAAAAAAATCAGTTCTTAAATATTTCGAAATATTAAATGTTTATAACTTTTGAATAAAAAATAATAAATTTTATATAAAAAAAAATATATAAATTTTTTTCTAATAACCATAAACTTTTCCAAGCAAATTACATTCATATTTTTTATAATAATGTAATAACAAATATATATGTGATAATAAAAATAAAGAAATAAGTAGCATTAGTCAATGAATAAACATACATATAAATAACATCATAATAAGCACATGTGGCTTTAATAATATATAAATAACACGAGGAACTGAATTATATATGAACAAATGCGCAATTATCACAGAAAATTTACATACTTTTATCTGCAATGAATCAATTGTATAAATTAAATTATACAGAACATAATTAACAATGTTATTATACAACGAACAAAATTATTATACAACGAATCAATCTTTACTCAGAAATTTACACAATCATTTTATACTTTTTTGTCTCATTGGTTTGATATGGTATCTTCTAAAGTAGCTTTTTAATAACAAAAATTTTTTTTGACTCTTATCCAATGTTTAAATGATAAATATTCCACTTCACATTTATTTCATATTATTGACACTTAAAAAGATAATAAATTCAAATAATAATGCACATTGTGAATGAAAATCTTGAATTAATTTACGAGATCTAAAGGGCGGAGTATTTCCTCTCAAAAACAGTCTACTTTGGAAGCAACCGGCGCAATGCTCTACCGTTTTAGGTTTCGACCGGCATTCAGTGCTGCCACAGAGTGGTCGAGACCCGAAATTTTTGCAAATATCTTAAGTACAGATCATGTGCACGACTTTTGAAATCTAACTTCATTTCTAATAGAACTGTCAAACTTTAATTAAAAAATATTTTTATTATATTTTATTATATACTTCATAATAATATATATAAAATTATTATTGTTATGTTGTAATAATTACAAAATTATTATTACAATACTTTATTACTATAAGATTACTATTTAAGTTAAAAAATATCATTACTAACAAAAAATAGTCAATAAATGAAATGAATAGTCAATAAAATTTAAACCATTATAAAATTTTAATATTATAAAAAATAATACTTTAATTTATGACATGAATAATAAATAATAAATCTTAAAATATTTATCTTATATAGATAATTTTGTGTATATATATATATATATATTAAATAATAAATGTAATTATTTAAATAAATAATTCTGAATGACTCATATTATGAATCATTTCCGATATATCTAAATATATTTTATTCTTTATCATGATTTATATAATTCACACTAATAGTAATACATTTATACTATTAAATTTGAAAAGAATTGAAATATTATTATTTTATAAAATCATAGCACTAATATAAAATTATAAATAAATATTATAAATTATGATACGAAATTCTAATATTTGACTATTTATAAAAAAAATATAACATAACAACATATATTAAAATGTTAAAATATATTAAAATGTTATTATTTTTAATTAATGTAAAAATAAGTAATAGAGTGTTAATCATTATTTTATAAGAAATAAATATATACTTGAATTTGGATTTACTAATACTAATATTTAAATATAATTATAATAATAAATTTATAATTAATATTTTTTATATATTTTTTGCATATTTCATTTAATAATTAATTATATTGTAACTAATATTAAATATTATAACTATAATATAACTATATCATAATTAATTATTAAATAAAACATGTATAATGTGTTTATAATTTGTTAGTCTTTCATATATCAAATATTATAAATAATAATATAATATAATAATTTGTTACATTATGTAAAAATTAATTAATACTCACGATTTTTCCATTTATTTAAGATCTTTTTATAAGTATCTGATACCATTCGCGAATTATCTTTTATTGTTTTATTAACTTTAGACATTGCAAAAAAATTTGTTAATTGCTATATAAATGATTATTAAAAATATAATATAAATGTTTGAATTAATGTAAAAATTGATACGTTCGATATGTATATAACGAATGATAACGGATTTACTTCGTCAGCTTTCATATTGGAATTTTAATCTTACACAAGAATCATAGAAGCATATCATGTAACCAACCTAATAATACAAAATCTTAGTAATCAATATTTTGATAACTGATAAATGAATGAAATTATTTTATGATAACTTACAATTTTAAATAAAAAATCAAAAATATTTATATAAATTTATATATATTTTTATCTGTTATATTAAATTTTGTTATTTCAAATATATCAGATAAAAGTTTTTCTTTATAATATGATTAATAAATTTTAATTTACTTTCATCAAAAACTTTCATCGTCATTGTCATATGTATTTCATTATATATTTATTATTTATTATTGTTATAAATCTCAATTTTTAGTAAATATAAAAGAAAATAATATAAAGCTTAATAACGAATATAAAATCTATATCGTACAATTTATTTAATAAAATTCATATAATTTTTTAATATTATAAAATGTTAAAATACATTACCAGGTGTCAAGTGTCAGCACAGTATGACTCACAATCGAAACATAGCAGGAGGTAAGTATACACAAGTATAATCACATATAACCAAACTAAATGCACTTTTATATTTTATATCAAAAAAATTAAACAATTATTTGATCATTTATTATACAATATAATTACAATTTCCGCATATATTTATATATATAATATTAAAATACAGATAAACTGCGGAAACTCCATAAATAATAAAATGTTTTTAGTATTGTTAATATGTATCTAGCGGCAGTGAGATGTATTAGTATGTACGGCTCAAAAAATATGCATTTACTTACCAATACGAAGCCTTATTGAAATTTAGCAATATTTACACTATTACTCTATGACAATCGACTTGATAACAACACAATTACGATACACAAATGTGAGAATTCAATCTGACAACATTACTACATATACTGGGGCGTTTGCCGGATACCGGAAGTACTACTCTTGCTATTGTGTAAATTTAGAATTTATCACACATGCGCCTAAATTCGAACATTATCTTTAAAAAAAAGTTTCTTTAATCTTATAGAATTTTATAAATATAGGTATCATATTAATAAAAATAAAAAAATTTTATGTGATAAATCAATACATCATTACTGAAGTAATATTAAATTTATCTTTATACATTTTAACAATTTTTATATATTAAGATGCATTTAAAATTATAATAGAATTATCGCTCAGTTTCTATATAAATTGTAAAATTAATGTTTTAAATAATAATAATATTTTAAGATAATATTTTAAATATTCTGCATTTATTTATGTATATAATATTATATATTAGTGCTGCCATCTGGTTTTTACTTGATTCTTCGAAAAAAGTACTCGCAGTTATTAATCACTTGTAATTTTATCTAATAATTATGTAATTTTATTTAAATTTTTTTAATATTCATCATTATATAAAATTAAGATTTAAAATTTTATAATTCATTTTCAAAATATAACTATTAATACTATCAATTCGACTAATTATTTTAAAGAGTGGTAAGATTTTAAAATATATATTGTTATATATATATTATACTTATATTTCAATGAAAAATAATATGAAATAATACATAAAGTGATTAAGTTAAATTATAAGTAATTAAAACAGGATAAAATATCATATAACCAGAAACATGAGCACAAAATTTATATTTATTGAATCAATGAATATTCTTAGTATAATTCCTCAATATCACATATTGATAAAAACATTTTTGATTATTTTACTTATTTGGTTTATTAGTAAAAAATATTATAATAGTCATAAAAAAATAAATGAAGATGAAGTTGAAAAGAAACTTGCAGAATGGAAACCTGAACCTCTTATAAATAATCCACAAACAAATCATTTATCATTAAATCCAAGATGTATAACATCTAGAGCGGGTAAAAGAATAGTAGTAAATGGCAAAGATTGTTTAAATTTAGGTACACATAATTATCTAGGTCTAACTGAAAATCATGAAATAGAGAAAAATGCAATAGCAGCAATAAGAAAATATGGAGTAGGTTCTTGTGGTCCACGTGGATTTTATGGTACTGTTGATGTTCATCTTGAATTAGAAGAACGTTTAGCAAATTATACAGATACAGAAGATGCAGTTGTATATTCATATGGTTTTAGTACAATTGCATCTGCAATTGCAGCATATTGTAAGCGTAAAGATCTTGTATATGTTGACGAAAAAGTAAATTTTGCTATACAAAAAGGATTGGATGCAACTAAAGCTAATATTATTTATTTTAAACATAATGATGTAAATGATCTTTGTAATTTATTGATTAAACAAGCAAAACTTGATAAACAAAATCCTAAGAAAGCAGCTAAAACTAAACGTTTTTTAATAGTTGAAGGTATTTATATGAATACTGGAAATATCTGTCCATTACCAGAATTAGTTATATTATGTAGAAAATATAAACTAAGAATATTTATTGATGAATCAATATCATTTGGAACCTTGGGTGAACATGGAAAAGGCATTACTGAATACTTTGATGTTCCTAGACATGAAATTGATATGATTATGGGTAATAATGCTA